CACAGCAGGTCGAGGCTGCGGTGGCCAGGAGCGGCCACTGCACTCCAGTCTGGGCGACAGAGTGAGACTCCAACTCAAAAAAAAAAGAATACACAGTTTTTTCATAAATAAATAAATTCCAGTTTCTTTGGATCATATCCATATACATATACATATATATGACATACATATATATATATATGATCTCTCTCTCTCCATATGGAGAGAGAGAGAGAAAGAGAGCGAATGAGAACTATTACTTTGAAGAAAAAAGCAATATCCACTAGGTGCTGTGGCTCACATCTGCAACTCCAAACACTTTGAGAGGTCAAGGTGAGAGGACTGCCTGAGCTCAGGGGTTTGGGACCGGCCTGGGCAACATGGTAAGACCTTGTCTCTACAATAAATATAAAAAAAAATTAGCCAGGCATGGTGGCATACACCTGTAGTCCCAGCTACTTGGAAGGCTGCGGTGGCTGTGAGCATGCCACTGCACTCAAACCTGGGTGACAGAGTGAGACTATGACTCAAAAAAAAAAGCAACATCCTTGGAAATCCAGGAGATTTGTTCCAACTTAACAGTACAAAATGAAATTGGCAACTAATGCCAACTATTAAGTAGAAAAAGAACCTCAATAAGAAAAAAGTCTGGGTAAAACCCTTTTAAGGGCAACACAGAAAAAATTTTAGAATTTAATTTAGAATGAGTGGCCATTTAGAATGAGTGCCTGTTAGGCTTTGACCATGGATAAGTGACCATCACTTTCTTTTATGGTAACCCAAATGAAAAACAACTTTTTTTTTTGAGTTGGAGTCTCACTCTGTCGCCCAGACTGGAGTGCAATGGCCGCTCCTGGTCACCACAGCCTCGACCTGCTGAGCTCCGGCAATCCTTCCGCCTCAGCCTTCCAAGCAGCTGAAACTACAGGCACGTGCTATCACACCCAGCTAATTTTTGATTTATTGTAGAGATGAGGTCTCACCAAGTTGCCCAGGCAGGTCCCGAACCCTCAAGGCTCAGGCAATCCACTCACCTTGGCCTCCCAAAGTGCTGGGATTACAGGCTGAGCCACCAAGCCCGGCCAAAAAACAACTTTTAAGACTGGAACACACTTCAGCTTTGTAAGAAGCTCAAATCTGAAATGTTTTTTCTCTTTCAACAGGCCAACTCTGAATGACTTACGGAGTTCATTTCCTTCACTGAGAATCTCTACCCGGCGTTCAAGCTGCTCAAACAGATTCCGCAAATTCAGCATTGTAGTATCCATCTTCCTGCCAAGAAATCAAATATACATTAGGAGTCCTGCCTTCTCCCCCTGACAAAAGATTCAACAGCAATTCACCCCTCAGAAATCAACATCTGGACTCTTCCATTTATAACTACCATTATAAGTCTCTCAAGCCAGTGGAGGATTTTTGATCCTTACTATAGAAACAAACTTGGAATATTTAAGACTCATGTGAAAATTAGAAAACCATTGCAGAACTGTGAATATAACACCCCCTTCCTGCCTACTCCCTCCCCCCATATACACACTATGCAATCACTCTGGAGCAGAGAAGAAAAGCAATTAGGAATGAGCATGTCAGTTGATTGCTATATGACTGACCAAGTACAAAATGTGGTTCTTCAAGTCAAGTCTATTGATTAATATAACACTTTCACCACTTTATTCTTTGTGGACTTTGAAGACCTACAATGTAACTTAAAAGATCTATTTTTAACTTCATTTTTAGCTAATGCCCCTGTTACAACTGCCTTTTAAAATGCAGGACATGGTCAGCACATTTCCTACCAACAGCACAGATGACGTCACACGAGTGATTAAGTGGGGAAATCGCCAGCTCAGCAGCACAAGAATTATTTCTGTAATGCAGGGCTCTCTGCTGGGCTGCGTGCAGGGACTATGTCTAATAAATTTATACTAAGTATAGGCAAAGGATTATGTTGTACCACATTCTGGCATCAGAGAGACAATACACCACCTTCACAGTTAGAAGGGCAAATGAAAAATCATTTGCTACTGTCTGTATAGTGAATATCAGGCTTCATATTTCCCCCCAAAGGCCTGCTGGCATTACAGTAAAAACGGTATCCTTGCAGGCAGTTCTGTTACAAATAGACTTCAACTGGGAACACTTTGAAAAAATAAGATCTTCATTTAATAGTCAAAAAAGAAAGACATTAACTAGATTTTATTAAAATTACCAAGGAAATGAAATAAAAAGTCAAATTTCATTTGAAAATTTAATGTACTCAGAAATACCATTAAAGGATTCTTACGTTTCTCCTAACCACTCCTTCAACATTCTAGTCCAGGTCCTTGTTTCATACATCTAAGTAAAATTTTAAGAATTCTTATCTGAAGGTTTAATGATTTTGCAATGTTTATAAGATTGTACAAGTCATGAGGGCAAGGGAAAACTGGGGGAAAAATACAAAAACAAAGGAATATATGAACATAAAGATATTTTCTAGTAAATACTACAGAATTATTCATTTGTACTCATATGATGATTGCTGTAATAACAAGAACAAAGTTTTTCAATTCCAAGCTTGGATGCAATATATACCTGAATTGGGGCTGGAAACCAAGATTTTCAAATGGCAAGTATCTGTTCCAAGCTACATAATCATAGCAAGCTGCTAAGCAACCAGACCAACAAATTTATTACAAAGATCTTTCTCTAAACTAAGAACAAAACTAAAAGAATAGCATTAAAACCAACAGGAAGAGATCTAGAAGTCATGGAGATGTCCGTGGATTTAACAATATAACAAAATAGGCAAACATGCCCAAATGCTACAGGACAGAAGCAGGGGCAAGACATTCAGTAGTCGATTCACATGATGATTTCCTTTGGCTCTCGGTAAAAATGGAAGACACTAATCAGTAGTTTTAATATGAGGTATTGATTTCTATCAGCACTCATCTATATTTTCTGAGTCTATAAGACAGTGAGCTCGGTACCATAGCAAAACCTCTATCCATTCAAGAATGCAGAAAAGGAAAATTTCATGATACTAGGATACTGAAAACTGGTTGTTTAAAAAAAATTTTTCTGGCAGGGCACAGAGGTTCATGCCTATAATTCCAGCACTTTGGGAGGCCAAGGTGAGAGGATTGCCTGAGCCCATGGGCTCAAGACTATCCCGGGCAACCTGGGCTACAATAAATCAAAAAATCAGCCAGGTGTGGTGGCACGCGCCTATAATTCCAGCTACTTGGAAGGTTGAGGTAGAAGGATCACCTGAGTTCAACAGGTTGATGCTGGGGTGGCTATGAACGTGCCACTGCACTCCAGCCTGGGTGACAGAGTGAGACTCCAACTCAAAAAATAAAAATAAAAATAAATTTTTTTTTTTTTTGAGTTGGAGTCTCACTCTGTCACCCAGGTGGGCTCCAGCAATCCTTCTGCCTCAGCCTTCCAAGTAGCTGGAACTACAGGCATGCGCTACCACACCCGGCTAATTTTTTGATTTATTGTAGAGATGAAGTCTCGCCAAGTTGCCCAGGCGGGTCTCGAACCCGTGGGCTCAGGCAATCCCATCACCTCAGTCTCCCAAAGTGCTGGGATTACAGGCTTAGCCACCAAACTCGGCAAAAATAAAATCTTAAAAGAATATAATACTTCAGCTTCAGGGAAGGTATCATCCCAAAACCCAACTAACACCACTCTCCAGGCCACCATGGCTACTCAGGATACCTTGAACCTGTGCACGTACCCAGCAGAGGACTGCTAACAGCTGGCAATTGAGAAACTCACATCAATGCTATATATAGCCAAGGGAACCCTACAGTGCCTATGTCAGCCCCTGCCAATATCAGATAAGAAGAAACAGTCTACCCAAATGAGAAGGAACCAGAGAAATAATTCCAACTATATGAAAAAACAGAGTTCTTCAAGACCCCCAAAAGACCACACTAACTCTTCAGCAATGGACCCTAACCAAAATGAAATCTTTGAATTCTAGAGGTAGACTTCAAAAGGTTTATTATAAAATTGCTCATTGAGATTTAGGAGAAAGTTGAAAACCAACATAAAGAAATTTAAAAATTATTCAGGATATGAATGAAAAATTCTCCAAAGAGATAGACACCTTAAAAAAAAAAAAGGCCAGGTGCAGTGGTTCACGCCTCTAATCCCTGCACTTGAGGAGGCTGAGGCAAGGGAATTGCCTGAGCTCAGGTGTTCAAGAACAGCCTGAGTAACATGGCGAGACCTTGTCTCTACAATATATCAAAAAGTTAGCCAGGCATGGTAGCTCATGTCTGTGGTTTCAGTTACTAGGAAAGCTGAGGCTAAAGGATCACTTAAGCACAGCAGGTTGAGGCTGCGGGGGCTGTGAGCATGCCACTGCACTCCAGACTGGGTGAGAGTGAAACTCCAATGCAAAAAAAAAAACGAAATTCTGGAAATGAAAGAATCATTTAGGGAAGTGTAAAATGCAGCAGAAAGTTTTAACAGTAGACTAGAACAAAGAAGAAAGGATCTTGTACCCCTGCCTAAGGTATTTTGTCATTGCAGCAGGAAAAGACTGGGACAGTCCCTTAAAATAAATCCTCACATTTTCTCAAGTTCCTCTAAGTCTATATTCTTCCTCCCTGTGTTCTTTGTGCACACCACTCCTTGGAGTGAGGGCTGGGGAAGGTATTCTCTTAAAAACACAAACCTGATTCCTAAAAAATGAAAGACAGTCTACATCAGGGACATTCATCTCCTCACCATAGTACCTAGTATACACACAACTAGGGCAATCTACATTGTTCTCCTTGAATGATGCCTCTACCTAGGAGATAGCTGTTTAAATAAACTCCCGGCCAGGCATGCTGGCTCAGCCTGTAATCCCAGCACTTTGGGAGGCCAAGGCAAGAAGACTGCCTGAGCCCAGGGGTTCGAGACCAGCCTGGGCAACTTGGTGAGACCTCTTCTCTACAATAAATCAAAAAATTAGCCGGGTTGTGGTAGCACACACCTGTAGTTCCAGCTACTTGCAAGGCTGAGGTAGAAGGATCGCCTGAGCCCAGCAGGTCGACACTGGGGTGGCTGTGAGCATGCACTCCAGCCAGGGCAACAGAGTGAGACACCAGCTCAAAAGAATTAGAGTTTTATAGTTCGGTTATTGATTTTTGTTTGTTCTTCCCCCTCAACATCAAACATTCCCTAAAGTTCAGTCCTCCAACCTCATGAAGAACTCATCAAACTATTCCACATTAGCCATGATATCTCTACAGACAACTCAATTTCTCTCTCCAGACCTAGCCTCTCTCCTAACTATCATATAGCTTACTCTTTCTCTCTTTTTTTTTTCTTTGAGTCAGAGTCTGTCTCAGTCACCTAGGCTGGAGTGCAGTGGCATGGATCATGCCTCCCACAGCCTCAACCTGCTGGGCCCAAGTAATCCTTCTGCCTCAAGCCTTCCAAGTAGTTGGGACTACAGGTGTGTGCCACCACACCCAGCTAATATTTTTATCTGTTTTTATTGTGGAGACAGGGTCTCACTAAGTTGCTCAGGCTGGTCTCAAACTCCGGGGTCAAGCAATCCTCTTGCCTCAGCCTATCAAAGTGCTGGGATTACAAGTGTAAGCTACCACGCCTGGCTATCCTGTAGCTTTCAATTTGCTTGGAATGCCCAAGATGTTGAAATTGATGCTGCTTCACTCAGTTGCCACTCATAAAACTCACACTCTAATTAAACTTTACCATGTTTCTGCCTGTGTCCCAGGTACTAAAAATTTGAAGAGAGAAATCTTACGTCAGGCACTATTGTATTACACACACAAACGTGCGGTATTTAATAAAAGACTTACAAGCAAAATAAATATTTGATAAATGGAAGTCAGAGAATGCACATGCACATACCCATGATGCTACTATCAAAAGACTCTACCTCAACATCAATGTAATATAGTTTAAAGGAAAAAAAGAGTTTGTTTTTTTAAGTGAGGGTGGAGGGAGCAGGAGACCTGAGACAAGCCAGGTACAGTGGGAGTACCTAGAGCCCCAGCTAACCAGTGGCTGAAGTGAGAGGATTGCTTGAGCCCAGGAGTTCAAGTACAGCATGAGCAACATTGCAAGACCCTATCTCTTAAAAAAGAAAGAAGGGAGGGAGGAGGAGGGGGAGAGGGAGGGGAAAGGGGAGGGGGAGAGGGAGGAGGAAGGGAAGGGAAGGGAAAAGGGAGGGAAGGGAGAAAAAAAAGAAAAGAAATAAAATTTTTAAAAATTAGCCAGGCAAGCCGGGCTCAGTGGCTCAGCCTGTAATCCCGCGCCTTTGGGAGGCTGAGGTGAGTGGATTGCCTGAGCCCGCAGGTTCGAGACCCGCCTGGGCAACTTGGAGAGACCTTATCTCTACAATAAATCAAAAAAAATCAGCCGGGTGTGGTAGCGCATGACTGTAATTCCAGCTACTCGGAAGGCTGAGGCAGAAGGATCGCCGGAGCCCAGCAGGTCGAGGCTGCGGTGGCCGGGAGCGGCCACTGCACTCCAGTCTGGGCGACAGAGTGACTCCAACTCAAAAAAAAAAAAAAAATTAGCCAGCCATGGTGGCACATGCTTGTAGTCCCAGTTACTTGGTAGTTAGAGGCAAAAGGACTGTCTGAGCCCAAGGTCAGGGCTGGGGTGAGCTGTGAATATGCACCTGCACACCAACCTGGGCACCAAAGTGAGATCTGGACTCAAAAAAAAGAAAAAATTCCAATGGATGATTTGAATGTAAAAAAATTCCAATGTATAAATTGAACTATGAAAATATAAGGTATAGCCGGGCATGGTGGCTCACGCCTATAATCCCAGCACTTTGGGAAGCTGAGGTGAGAGGATTGCTTGAGCCCACAGGTTTGAGACCAGCCTGGGCAACTTAGTGAGACCTCATCTCTACAATAAAAATCAAAAAAATTAACTGGGCATGATGGCATGTGCCTCTAGTTCCAGCTACTTGGAAGGCTGAGGCAGAAGGATAGCCTAAACCCAGTAAGCCTAGGCTGCAGTGGCCATCAGTGTACTACTGCACTCCAGCCTGGGTGACAGAGTGAGACTCCAACTCAAAAAATACATATATAAGGTGTATTAGAATAGGAATGAAGTGGGTTTCTTTGTTGTGTGTTAGTCTGATAGCTGTTATTTATATCCTAGAATAGTGATTCCCAAGTCTAGGGGTTTTAGGCTGTCTCCACATAAGGATATCACGTCACTAAATTCAAAATTCTAGACTACTTTTTAAAATAGTGCTATATAGTTAGAAAGAAAACCAGTATTTACCAGATGTCTATGAAGTGATTCAGGCACTAAACTAGATACTTCACATATTTTTAAGTGAACTTGACTAACATAATTATCTCTATTTTTCAGACAATGGACAACTAAGGCTCAGAGACCTTAAATGACTAATAAGCACAAGTCGCACTGAAACCTAGATCTGAGTCCAAAATCTATGTTCTTTCCACCTCAACTCACTGAAGATATATTATAAAAATATCAATTAGCCAGGCAAGGTGGCTCAAGCCTGTAATCCCAGCACTTTGGAAGCCCGAGGCAAGGGGATTCCCTGAGCCCAGGGGTTTGAGACCAGCCTGGGCAACTTAGCGAGACCTCGTCTCTACAATAAATAAAAAAAATTAGCCACGCTACTTGGAAGGCTGAGGTGAAAGGATCATCTGAGCCCAATAGGTTGAGGCTGCGGTGGCTGTGAGTGTGCCATTGTACTCCAGCATGGGCAACAGAGTGAGACTCCCACTCAAAAAATAATAAATAAATAAATAAAATATATCAATTAGACCATATAAGTTGCAGACATTTCAGGCATCTCCCCAAAATCCTAACATGTTATACAAAGAAAGATGCATATAAAACACAAATCATAGCTAGAACACAGGACAAGAAGAATCCAGACAGCAAAATTTGACCAGGTCAGGCTCTCAAACTGTTCTAGATGAGGCTTGTTGCTTCTGAAGAGTTCGTTTTTCCTCTAATAGAGATTTACTAAGGTTATTCCAAAAAATGGTACTAGCAGAATATAATCCTCTTCTCTGTATATGCTTGGGGACAATATACTTTTATTAATATTCTACAGAAGTGACTCTCAGGAATTATTTATAGATGATGAAAAATATTCTGCATCAATACTAACTGCTATCTCAGCCAAACTGTAACTCAAAAAGTCAAAATTTACTCATTCTATTCAATGTCAATTGAAAATGGTCTTTATTTTCCTGCTGGGTCACATTTTCACCCTCATGAATACTTGTTTATTTCTCCGCTTTATTATTTAGCTTCATAGCTAGGAAATACATTAATGTGAAAGGAAACAAAAACAAAGTCATATTGTAGTACATTGCTTTGCAGCTGTAAAACAGCTGTCACTTTCCACAACAGAGGCTACTGCCTTTCGGGAAAGCTGAAAACGATCCCTGTGTGTAGCAAGAAAATCAGTTTGTGAAGCACTTTAAACAGAAAGGTGCTGGAGAATCTCTGCTGTTATTGATGGGGAGCCCCAGAGGTGGAGAAGTCACTATGTTATAGATTCCAATCTGTGAGTATCCCTAAGGGAGCAATTTGGCAACACCATCAAAGAGTCTCAGCTTGATGTGATTGCTTTGAGCCCCCAATTTAATTTCAATCGCCCAGCCAAGAGACAGACATCATCCTTCAGAATAACAGACTATTACAGATCTTACTGCAGGATATCCTGGGAAAAGTATCCTCTTCTTCCTCCCGCCATAAACAACATTATTAGAGACCTATACATCAGGTTTTTTAGATGCATCAGGGGTGTTAAATATTGTAAAACAAAGCAATGAAAGATTGCTTGAGTTTTTCAGAAAATTGTTTTAATGAAAAACATTCTCACAAACATTGCTAAATCTGGAGATTCCCAAGAAATCAACAATATAGGTTTCCTGCTGCCAAGGAAAACCATTCCCAAAGACAATCTCAATACTTTTAGATTCGTTTACAGGAAAGGAGTTGAGAACAATTCTTTTCCCCAAATGTCCAGCTTCTACTTCACTATATCGAAAGCCTCTATACAACTGGCAGGCAGAAGGATTATCTTGAAACCAAATATTCTTACAAGCAAATCAGCTGCAGAAACGGTAAACAGAAAGTCGTCAGTCCAACATGAATGAAGATTAAAACAAGGAAAGAGATTAATTAGGATTTTTCAGAAAATTACTATTAGTTTAGCATACCAAGCTCTTTTTTTTTTTTCAGTGAATTCTTCCTCTTCTGAAGTCTTCCATTCTTCAAGGTCTAGAATAAGTCTTGCCAACTCAATGCGTTCCCTAACCATTTCAGTCCAAAATGATCTCCTTTGTTATCTACAGCACTCATTTGGCAGATATATATACATATTTCATAATATTTTTTGGTTTTTTTGTTTTGTTTTTTTTTTCATTGGAGTCTCACTCCGTCGCCCAGACTGGAGTGCAGCGGCCGCTCCCGGCCACCGCAGCCTCGACCTGCTGAGCTCTGGCGAGCCTTCCGCCTCAGCCTTCCAAGTAGCTGGAACTATAGGTGTGCGCTACCACACCCGGTTGATTTTTTTGATTTATTGTAGAGATGAGGTCTCACCAAGTTGCCCAGGCGGGTCTCGAACCCGTGGGCTCAGGCAATCCACTCACCTCAGCCTCCCAAGGCGCGGGATTACAGGCTGAGCCACCGAGCCCAGCATATATTTCATATTGTTAATTTTCTATGTTCAAAAAAGTGATTTTTAAATAAACAAAAATCTCACTTCCCTTAAACAACTATATGTATCTCTTTAGTCTTTGCCCGCAGTTGGCCTCGGTGGCTCAGCCTATAATCCCGCGCCTTTGGGAGGCCAAGGTGAGTGGATTGCCTGCGCCTGAGGGTTCGAGACCCGCCTGGGCAACTTGGTGAGACCTCATCTCTACAATAAATCAAAAATTAGCCGGGCGTGAGAGTGCGCGCCTGTAGTTCCAGCTACTTGGAAGGCTGAGGCGGAGGGATCGCCGCAGCCCAGCAGGTCGCGGCTGAGGTAGCCGGGAGCGGCCATGGCACTCCAGTCTGGGCAACAGAGTGAGACTCCAACTCAAAAATAAAATAAAATAAAATAAAATAATAATAATAATCTTTGCCACTATCTTTTTTTTGATGAGAAAGCAGGAGTTTATTAAGACAGAAGAGCTCCCAAATGGGAGGGGGCCCAAAGAGGGTTGCCCCATCACTCATATTTCATAGTGTTGCAATCTCAGATTACATACAATCTTGCATTTTCCTTTTTACTATCATGTTTCAAAAAGTTACAAAAAAGCCGGGCTCGGTGGCTCAGCCTGTAATCCCGTGCCTTTGGGAGGCTGAGGTGAGTGGATTGCCTGAGCCCCTGGGTTCGAGACCCACTTGGGCAGCGAGACCTCATCTCTACAATAAATCAAAAAATCAGCCGGGCATGGTACCGCATGCCTGTAATTCCAGTTACTTCGAAGGCTGAGGCGGAAGGATCGCCAGAGCCCAGCAGGTCGAGGCTGCGGTGGCCGGGAGCGGCCACTGCACTCCA